TCGGTTTTATATTCAATTATGTTATTCGAAAGCGTGCTCGTGACTGGTGGATTAAATATTCTTACATATTTTCAGCAGCAATGAGCGCTGGTGTTGGTGCGGCACTTATTATCATTGCATTTATCCCAGTATTTCCAGTGGATTGGTGGGGAAATGCTCAAAATGAACTTGACGGCGATGGGTGTAGATATTCAACTGCTGATTATTATGGCATCGCCGATGATGGAACGTTTCTAGAGGACAGTGACAAATGAGGGAAACAAGAATAAAAGTCTTCATCCGTCTGCTTATAGATCCACATATCATTGGCTGCAAATTAGATTCTAATAGCATAGAAACAAATGCTAATCTTTTACACGTGCAAGATGTACACAGGGAGAATGGGAAGTTTCTTCTGGTAACTTATTGCTTTACCTGGAGAAATAATGAAAGAGTATTAGCGGAAATTAATCAACTGTGTGGCAGGGTAGCGCCTGAAGTGCCAAAAGGTGGAACTCCCAATACTGAGACGTCTAGTCACGTTAAGAGGTTGTGTCCTTCAGGGGGGAGGGTTGTGGTCAAATTTATGCTAAAATCAGCGGTTTTGGGGTATGAAACTGTTACTCCCCTTCTTCGAAGGTAGTGCGGGAGAGCTTCGCAAAAGATACCGTCGGTCTAGAAAGTAAGGATTTGCTTTCTGTCATAAGGTACGATAGAGCTTGATAAGGTGCATCCGACCAAAACCTTCGACACTTTTTATTGAGGTACTCAGGAGAGTTTGACGAATCGAACCGTAAAACTGTTCGCTGAAAGGATCACTGTTTCGTGCGCTTCTTATGTGATTATCATTACTATGCTCGTGTTCAAGATCAAAGAATTATTAGTTAAATTAAATTTAGTTAAAGATTCAGAATAGAGGAGTGCAGATAATCTACGGAATCAAGTGATTTCAACGCGTCTATTTATTGGTTTAGTGTCTGCGGCATTCTTCAGTCTTATTCTCTATACATCATTGACGTACGTTACGCATATCGTTACCATCAAACAACCGACTGTTGAAGTTTTCACTGGTCCACAGAGACAATATCTGCCGACATTGGAGTGTACAGGTACTCAGATAACAATCGAATACGAATCATTCGTTCCCTCTGAACCAACATTTCATCAAGTTTGTGCTTCGGCTTTTGTAACTACGAACTGGATAAAATTTGTGCAGAAAATATCGGTAGAGACTAGGTGCTCTCTTAATTTCCTCGTATATGCTTCGAAAGATTTTCCACTATTGTTATCATTTTGTCAATTATCACTAGAAACAATTCAAAGTGAATTATTAATATTTAATACAGTAAAATATGTCACAAATAATATACAAGATCAACAGGAAATAGAAAAATTGTTAATACGTTCATACAAACGACAGTAGACTCATTGATACAATTGATATCAATGATAAGGCAGACGACAAACGTTAATACATTGAGATCATCTGTCTTATTCAATTCTGTTGCTACAATTCTATCGAATAGTACAAAAGTATCGACAGACACTGTATCTCAGAGTTGTAACCGGTCTGAAAATACTAGACCGGTCCGGTCCGGTCAGTCACCGACCGGTCTAAAAATATTTCCAGACCGATAAAAACCGGCGAGTTCATCAAGTTTTTCAAGTAATAACATTGATATTAGGGACAAAATTTGTAGTGTGTAAATGTAATAGTCTGTCTCAAGCAGTCATTTGTCGAATGACGAAACGTCACGAATAATTTGAAAATAAATTTGGGAAGAG